TCAGGTGGAAGGGGCACGGGGGATCAGGCAGTGCTGGGATATATGTCGGGGAGTCCTGTGCCCGAGCGAGGGCCCCGGGGCTATGCACCCCCTGACACCCCGCTTCTTTTGCAGCGCGGCGCCCGGGCGCCATGCCCCGCCCCTGAGCATGTTTCGCATCCAGGAGTTCCCGGACGAGGTATTTCCCGGGCAAGAGCAGGAGTCGCCTGCTCCCCCTGAGTCGCAGCGGCAGGCCACGTCCGGCTCCAAGCAGCTAGGCACCCCGGCAGCTGGTGAGACCCCCGCATCCGGACTGGAGGGGACAGCCCTGGACTCAGCATGCTCATTTCCCCCCACCCCTAGAGCATTGTCCACAATGGGGGAGGGGCTCAGATCTTTCCACAGGGGCTCTTCTGTCCCCTGTAACTCAGCTCCTTGCCCCTCTCCCTGAGATTCCCAGACCTTTCCCGGGAATTCCCCATCCCTAAAAAGCCCTCCCCCTGCAGGTGTCAGCCCCTGATCTCCAGTTCTTCCATTTCCTATCCCTGCACCACAGACCTGCGAGGCCGGATTGGCTCAGACCCCCCCTTGGAGCCAGAAGTTCCGGATGAACCAGGTGGGGCATTCTTTCGGGCACGCTCACGCTCAGCACCCCCAATCCTCTGGGCTGCCATGCGTTACGGACGGGAGCTGCGCAGGATGAGTGATGAGTTTGACGTGGCACTACAGGTAAGATAGGTGTAGAAAGGGTGGGGGCACATTGCTAGGGGATAACACCCGGGGAGGAGGGATGAAATAGGAGAAGGAAGGACAATCTTTGGATGTCATTGGTACAGTCAAACCACCAACCCAGTGAGCTCTTACACCTCCAGGTCTCATGTCTAAGACCTGTGGCTCACATTGGACCCATAAGATGCTGGAGATGGGTGGGAGGCAAGTTTAGAGAAGCTAAAAAGTCCTCCTTGCTCACCACAGAGGGAGCTCCCCTCCAGCACCACTGCAGGTGGGCCTATCCTTGTCTTCCCCTCACACAGATTAGGTGGAGTGGCATAGCTCAGCTGGCCAGGGCCACCAGCATGCAGGCCCATCAATCAGAGAGGCAGCCAGTTGACTCACCCACACAAGGGGGGGGGCAGACATGGAGCACTGCAGAGGGGCATGAGAGAGAAGAAAGGGAGGGAATAATGGGGGGTGTTTGTCAGGAGAGCTTGCTATGTAGGGTCAGTATTTGCAACTGAGGCAGTTGCAGTAGGAGTGTCCCCACCGTGCTCTCAGCATCTCCCTCCTCTTCCAGGTACTGCCACGTCCCAAGAGTGCAGGCACAACAGCCCAGATGCACAGGGGGAGCAGCTGGAAAGAGACCTTACAGGCCTGGCTTGGGCACAGACCTGCCCGTGATGTTCCGCCTAGGAGCCCCAAGTGACTGCAGTCCCCCTGCTACTAGGGGGATGAGACCAGTTCCTTGAGAGACTCCTCAGCAGGATGCCAGTGTCTTATGAGAGGACAGAAATGTTAGGGGAGCTTTTTATGGGGTATATTCCCCCAAATAACTTACTCCCTACCCAACACTGGGGGTAGGCAACAGCCCATCTCATTGTAGGGCGAGTCCCCATCCCTATCTTTGGGGGAGAGGAAAAAGGCTGGGTTTTCTACACTGTATGGAAAAGCTGTAATAAAAAAACAGATATTTTCTATGGCTGCCTGCACTAGTTTTTATTACATCGCTGTAGTAATGGTACAGATACTGTCACACATCCTAGGCATAAGACAGACATTGATGCCCCCCACTACTTCCCGGACCCAGCCACACATGTCTACCATCATTCCTTGTCCTGCAACACCATCCCCCCGCATTCATGCCTGCCTGCCACTGTGCTTCCTCACCTCCAGCCACACATCTTCACCCCCACACCTTTCTTTAGTACTGCCCCAGCCACATGTGCCTACCAACCTGTCCCCCTCCTGCAGCAACACTTTCCAGCCATGTCTGTCACCCTGCCTGCAGCACTGCTCCCCACCACATGCATCTACAATTCTGACACTCCTGAAGTACCACCCTTTCAGTCAGGCATGTCTGCCAACCTATCCCACATGCCTGACACCCTCTCAGCACAGTCCCCTCTCCCCCAGATCACATGCATCTACCATCCTGTGCCCCTCCTGCAGCACTGCCCCTCCAGCCACAGACACACACATCTGCCACTGCCTCCAGTGGCCACATCTGCATGCCACCATGCCCCACGTCACTGTGTTTCCCCACTACAATGTACCTGTCGCAGTACCAACCTTCCAGCCACAAGTTCCATCATCCCTTTTCCTGCAATGGTGCCCCCCAAAACACATTCCTACCCCCCAACACCACCCCATACACACATGCACCTTCCACTTTATGTCACTCCACTGGGGTCCCAGCAGTAGTGCCTGCTGCAGTCCATCCCCGCCAGCTCAGCCATGTCCTCTGGGCTGAGGTCCCAACCCCAGAGTTGGGCATTTTCAGCCAAGCGCGTGGGGCTGGCAGACTTGGGGATCACCCCCACACCCTGGTGCAAGGCCCAGCGCAGAAGTACCTGAGCAGGGGTGCGCCCCCGGCGCTCTGCCACCCGCTCTACTTCTGCCCGCCCCAACAACTGCCCACAGCCAAGTGAAGCATAGGCCTGGAGATGGATCCCATGGTGCCGGCAGAAGTCCCACAGCTCCCGCTGGGGCAGCTCTGGGTGGAACTCCACCTGCAGAACAGCTGGTGGCACCCGGCAATGGGCCAGCAACTCCTGCAAGTGTTGTAGGGTGTAGTTGGAAACACCAATTGCCCGTAGGTGCCCAGCATGGTGCATCTGCTCCAGTATCTGCCAGCTCTCCCAGCGTCGCTCCCGGTTGCCCTTGTCCTCTTGGGGCTTGCCCTGTGTGCCTGGCCAATGGATGAGATAAAGATCCAGGTAGCCGCAGGCCAGCTGCTCCAGGCTTCGCAGGCAGGCAGCCTCAGCTTTGGCCTTGCCCTGGTCCTGTGGTCCCAGCTTAGTGGTGAGGAAGATGTCAGAGCGTTCTAAGCCATGAAGGGGAAGCAGGGCCCCCAGCGCTTGCCCCATAGCCCCTTCATTGTGATAGACGGCAGCTGTGTCAAAGGAGCGGTACCCATGGGCTAGGGCAGCTTCCACACACTGGGACACCAGCTCAGCACCCTGCAGGCGGAAAGTGCCCATGCCAAGCAGGGGCATGCGGGTTCCACTGTTCAGAAGCACAGTCTGCTCCGTGGGTCTGCAGAATAAATAAATGCAGGTGTTAGGCGGTGCCACCATCGCTTTCAGGGCAGCCAGGGGAGAGAAGGCCGTGCATGCAAAGCCAAGCCACAATCATGCACGAGAGGGAGGGGACGCCCATGCAAGCCTGTACCACAAGCATCCAAGAAGATACGCGTGTGAACCTGCCCCACAAGTAGGGTCTCGCCCTAGCCTGCACCGCGAGCGTGCGCGGGATGTCTGTGCAAGGCTGCGCTTACTGACCCTGCATCGCCCTGGCCCCAGGTGGCCCGTGCACTCAGCTCCTGCTGCCCAGACCCCGCCCCCTGCACGCCCCGCGCCCAGGCAATCCCCGGCTCTGCCCTCAACATCACCCACCCGAGCGACACACCCGCCGGCTCCATGGTTCTAGCGCAATTTCCTCCACGTGACTAGGGGCGGGGCCAGGACCTTCCAGGACCATCCCCGTCGTGGGGCGGAACCACTGGCGCCGGGGCCGGAAGTAAAGGCGTAATAAACGGCTATCGCGCGCTGCGCATACCTTCGAACTGTCCGGCTCCTTGGCGGGCACGAGCGGGGCTGGCACGCT